AGTAAACCTACTTCTTCTTTTTTTTTTTTTTTTTTTGTCGGTCGTGGGGCTTGAACTCTGGGCTTGGGCCCTGTCCCTCGGCTCTTCAGCTCAGGGCAAGTGCTCTACCACTTGAGCTATAGCACCACTTCCGGTTTCTAGTGGTTTACTGGAGATAAGAGTCCCACAGACTTTCCTGCTGGGGCTGGCTTTGAACTGTGATCCTCAGATCTCAGCCTCCTGAGTAGCTAGGAGTACAGGCATGAGCCACCGGTGCCCGGCGTAAACCCACTTCTTAGAGCAGCAAGGACGATGAAGAAAAAAAAAGCCACTCAATTTGAGTATCATGTTTATCTAAAAGGAAGGATTTTCTTACTACAGTGAATAGGAAAAAAATCACATGAATATGGAATTGAATTCTAATATAGGTGGGGTCATAGTAACATTTCAAAATTCTGGCATCAAATGAGAGATATTTTGGAAATATGTAAGTCTACTGATAAGAATTTTGAGGGCTAGTGAGGCATGGTGGTCTTAACTATTAGGGAGGCAGAGATGGGGGGGATCATGTTTTGAGGCCAGCCATTTCCTAAGACTCCATCTCAATCAAAGGCTAGGCACAGAAATATATAACGGACTTCCTCAGTGATATGGGGAGCAAAAATAGTAGGATCACAGCCCAGGCCAGCCATAAAGTGAGACCCTACCTCCAAAATAACCAACACAAAAAGAGAGTAGAAGTATGACCCAAGTGGGAAAGCATGTAACACTGAGGGAGACGCTGTGTGAAACTTGAGTACTACCAAAACAGAAAAACCAAGCAAACACTAAACTCATGAGAAATAAAGAGAAGGGAGGTCTTGGGAGATGGGAATTAGATGTTGCTCCAATTTTTCCAGATGGGCGAGAGCTGGGAAGAGCCATGACTTCAGCATGTTACATCTACCACAGACTCAGCCATCACACAACTGGGAATCCTCAGCCAAGGAAGCAAGACTTCCTTGCTATCACCTGGTAGAGGCGACTTTGCAATGGACACACTGATCAAAGCTATACCCAGCTAAGCTCAGATGACGTGGGAATCTGGATACCTCCCACCTCACATGGAACACTTGCAAAAAGCAGTAGACAATACAAGACAGTGGCAGTCACATAGCCACTGTGAACATATCACCTAAATCTAAAGGCAAGAATCAAATGAAATGGAGATTATTCTGTCGATATGAGGAGCAATCAAAGGTGATTCTGGGGAAAAGTTAACCTGCTCTGGTATTGGTAGCATAAGGGTGGCATGCAGGTGTAGAGTCTGGTTGCTAACCTTCGTGTAGTATCTTGGTTCCACATCTGGACCTTGGGCAGAGAAACAGAGAAACAGGAGGCATTTGCAGCTGGATAATCACGCATGCAGCCTGCCAAAGACTTGCATAGGGCACCAAGAGGTCAGACTCATGGGCTAGCAAATGCATGTTGTGATGAACTGTGTGTTCAAGTGTAACTTTTTTTTTGTCAGTCTTGGAGCTTGAACTCAGAGCTTGGACACTGTCTCTGAGTTCTTTTGCTTAAGGCTTGCGCTTTACCACTTTCAGCCACAGCACCACTTCTAGATTTCTGGTGGTTAATGGGAGATAAGAGTCTCCTGGACTTTCCTGCCCTGGCTGGCATTGAACCCTGACCCTCAGCTCTCAGCCTCCTAAATAGCTAGGATTATAGGTGTGAGCCACCAGTATCTGGCTTTCATGTGAAACAATTAATCCACGTCCTTTATAAACCCTTCAAAATATTGCCAATGCCTTCCACACTTTGTCAGAAATGGCAAAACAAATGGGGGCTGATTCGCTTGGAAGCTGAAATGTCAGTGATGACTCTGAATGTTCCTCTACCGTTGTTCATGAGAGGCTGTCTACAATGCTGACAGTGGGCTGCATCTCCTTTGTGTCCCTAACTTTTCTGTAGGGCTTGGTTCTGGGAAACTGTCCAAGCTACCATGTGCTGATAGCTCATACCTATAATCCTAGCTACTCAGGAAGCTAAGATCTGAGAGTGGATGTTCAAAGCTAGTCCAGGCAGGAAAATTTGTTCAACTGTTATCTCCATTTAATCAGCAAAAGGCAGAAGTGGAGATATAGTTCAGTAAGGTGGCCGCCTTAAGCAGAAAAAGCCGAGTAAGAGTGCAAGACCCCAAGTTTAAGCTCCGGTACCAGCACACACAAATAAAAACATAAAATAAAAATAAAAACAAACTCTCAAACAAGCAACAGTTCTGCTTAGATTGGCAGTGTCCTCTGGAGATCATGTGAGCTCTGCTGAGTGCTGTCTTGGGACATGCGTGATAAATGAGGCTATCAAATGCACTCAGGTTTCTCACTGGATTCCTGTATCAAATTCACACCCCCATGACCCACATGTGCCCTTGACGGTATGTGAATTACAAGGATTGGCATGGGGGGCCTTACCCCTACCACTCGAATCCCAGCTAGCAGCCTGGACAGAATTGACTTACCCTGTGAAATAAATCCACTCCACAAAAATAGCACTTGAGTTTATCCCAAGGAAACAATCTCCCTTCAGTGTCAGCTCCATCAGTCAGAATCTGAACACGAGATTCATGACCAAAAGGAAATAAAAAAAAATCACTACCCAGAATGGAGCCACAGATACCAGACGAAAACTTGAACATGTTGGACTGACACAGCTTAGACATGAGTTAGTGCCCATGCTCTGCATTTTAAGCCAAATGGCACAAGAGAAACAGAGAAAGCAATAGGCACCCCATGAAAGCTAGCTTCCATTATCTTGTGTTAATGCAGTGTGCTGCTTACATCAAACTCCAGAGGAATCAAGAAACTGGAGTTTAAGCCACACTGCTTACCTGCCCTGTCCCCTTATTTTGCCTATTTTTCATGATTTAATGCTGTCCTCTAATGGGGCTATCAATTTTCCAGACATCCCTGAGAATATAGTGATGACACACTTGGCTTGTGCCAGGTGTCAATGGCTCACACCTATAATCCTACTCAGGAGGCTAAGATCTGAGGGTTGTGATTCAAAGCCAGCAGGGGCAGGAAAGTTGGTGAGACTCTTATCTCCAATTAACAACACTAAAAAAGCCAGCAGTGGAGCTATAGCTCAAGCGGTAATGTGCCAGCCTTGAGCACAAATTCTCAGGGACAGAGCCGAGGCTGAGCTCAAGCCCCAGGACTGGCAAAAAAACAAACAAATAAGCATGGCTTGAACTCTGTCTTTACTACCAGCTAGTAGCCTGGTTGTTAAGTCTCTAAAACTCACTTGTTCATCTAAACAATGTTTATATTACTGTTACATAAAGATAATTAAAGGGGATTAGGATATAAGCACAGGTGAGGTCTCCGTTCTGGAACAAATCTAGCACAGTTTAGCTCTTATTGTCAGTACTATTTTGATTTACAATAGACACTTATCAAGTTGAGAAATCATTCTTTTGGGGGGCTATCCCTGAGCTCGTCAGTTCAAGGCAAGCGCTCTGCCACTTGAGCCACAGTACCACTTCTGGTTTTCAGAGTGGTTTACTGGAGATAAGAGTCTTATGGAGTTTCCTGCCCAGGTGGGTTTTGAACCACGATCATCAGATCTCAGCCAGCGTGAGCCATCAACGCCCCGCTAGAGAAGTCATTCTTAAATGTGGAAGTCTCTTTATTTGTGTGGCAAGCAGAGCAAAGATGATGGCTTATAAATAGCAAATTTCAGTCAAGCAATTATGATTCTTATTTTTTGGTATTAGGACTTGAACCCAGGGTCTTGCACTGGGTTTTAAACTCAGGGCCTTGCACTTGCTTCACAAGCACACTACCACTTCAACAACTCCACCAATACCTTCTTGTGTTGGCCATTTTCAAGATAGAATTTTTCTTTATGCCTGGGCTGGCCTGGACTGTAATCCTCCTATTTATGCTATATTGCTGAGAGGACCACTGTGTATCCAACCAGTGTGCTGGGTAGACAGGGTGCTGGCTAACAAGAGAGGGACCACTGTACCCATCACTGGTTGAAGTGGAGTCTTACCAACTTTTATGTCTAGACTGGCTTCAAACTGATCCCTAATCTCAATCTCTCAAGTAGCTAGGGTTAGAGCCTTCAGCCACTATACCTGGCTCAGGAAATTCTTTACTTTAGTATGCATACTCCTAACACAAAGGGAGATGTTTTCTCAAAGGAAAAACAATTCTACCTCTAGAGGGGAAAAGAAAACAAGAGGTACATATGGCAATGAAGTTGTTTTCTTTTTTACATTATAAGAGTACATGTGGCAATGAAGTTATAATGTAATTGACAGAGTAGAGGGGTTCTGACCATGGGAAAAAGAGAGGAAACGAATAATAAAAGTTATCTAACATGCACTATTGGATCCCCACCCCTCACATTCTCTCTGGCTGAACTTTTTACTTGGTGTCCATGGAGTTCTAACGACGTAAGCTGGATTTTGAGCCCATTCAAATTAGACTATATTGTCATCAAAAGACTGTGTCAGGAAATGGAATCAAATAGTATTTGGAATGGCGCTACAAGTAACAAAAACCATCCAGCAGGACACTGCTCATCAGCAGGTCACTCTAAGCTCCTGACTAGCCAAGCCACTTCATCGGTCCTGATTGTCACCACAGCAACTCAGTGCACAAAGTTCAGAGCGGCTATGGATCCTTATAACGGAAAGAATTCATGTTCTCCAATTTGCTCCAGTGGTTAAAGGGTAAAAGGAGAAGCACGTGTTCAGAAGTACGCAGGTCTTGGCTATGAAAGGCCCACAGGTAGGCTCTGCCGATCCACCAATCCTCTCTCCTGAGCCTCAGGCCTAGTCTGTGACTATCAAATGAGGCGAACGCACGTTGGTGTTTTGAGTTTTTACACTTATTCTAGTGGACACTGAAACCTTCTGTGAATTGAATTCCAAAAGACTTTCGCTGATTAGCACGAGGTGTGGAAGGCTGCATCATCCAGGAGAGATGCAGAGAGGGACGAGGATGGGGAAAGCGACAAACTCAACTCACCGGTAGATGATGCCCTTCTCATGCAGGAACATAAGCGCCGAAATGATCTCTGCCGCGTAGAAGCGAGCGCGGGCCTCATCGAAGCGACGGGACTTCTGAATGTGGAACATCAGGTCACCTCCATTCACAAACTCCATCACAAAAAACAGGCGATCCTGAATGCAAGCATGTGGTGCAGCAGTTAGTCTACAGGGTGTCAGTGCTGGGCTGCCTTGGGGTTTTGCAAGGGAGGGTTGTTTTTTATTGTTATTATAAAGGTGATATACAGAGGGGTTACCGTTACATAAGTCAGTTAAAGAATACTTCTTTTTTTTTGGACAATGTCATCTCTTCTCTCATTTTCTCCTAGTTTTTCCATCTCATAGAGTTTCTTTTATCAGTAGCTAGTCTGATACATAGTGATATATATTATAAAATGGAAACTCCTTTAGTTTTTTTAAAAATTAATTTGTTATTATAGAGGTGATGTAGAGAGGGATTACAATTACATGAGTCAGGTAATGAGTACATTTCCTTTCGCAGTGTCTTCCCTTCCTTCACTCTCTCTTAGTCTCTTCCTCCTGTCTCTACCCGTAAGTTGTATAGTTCACTTTCACCAGTGTCCAGTGAGCTCCATTGTGGCAAGTTTTCACCCTTTCTCCTTCATTTTCTTTGCCCTTCCCCCAACCCTTCTGAAGATGTACACTTGAATACACCATATATAAGGTAAAGAAGACAGAGTAATCAAAAATTAAAAACTAAAAGAAAAAAAGAGAAAAAAGAAGTTTATTGTTTCCATATTTTGGAGTTTCAATATATATAATTTTATATAAATATGAAGAGGCACTTAGGCACCTTTGTGTTTTTCTCCTAAGAATATCCTCTTTTGGTCTCACATGTGTGAATAGTAGGTCTAATTTCTGCATATCAGACCGAACAGGGAGGAGAGACTGTAATGGAAGTTTTTATGAAACATCCTGACAGCTGGGCGCTGGTGGCTCATGCCTGTCATCCTAGCTACTCAGGAGGCTGAGACCCAAGGATCATGGTTCAAAGCCAGCCCAGGCAGGAAAGTCCATGAGACCCTTATCTCCAATAAGCTACTCAGGAAAAGCCAGAAGCAGCTCTGTGGTAGAGTGCTAGCCTTAAGTAAAAGAAGCAGGCCAGGGAGCAGAGGGGTGGTCTGATAGATCAGATTTCTCAGGGGAAGAGTGACATTGGATCCCTGTTCAGTAATTCTACGTAGTAGAGAAGCGCCAGTGGTTCACATCTGTAATCCTAGCTACTCAGAATGCTGAGATCTGAAAATCATGATTCAAAACCAGTCCTGGCAAAAAAAAAAAAAAAAGTCCATGAGACTCTTATCTCTAATTAGCAAGCTAGAAATGGAGCTGTGGCTCAAGTGGTAGAGCAAAAAAATCCAATGCTCTAAGTTCAAGCCCTAGTACCAGGATCTAAAAAAAAACAGTAAAAAGTACAGAAGGCATCAGAAGCCTTTAGTTCTAGGTCCAGCTAGTCGCAGGCTATGTAAGGGACCAGAGCAGCCTCATTCATACTGAGCATGCATTTCAGAAATAAAGGATGCTGGACATGTGCTTTTGCCCTCCTAAGTGGGCAAAACAAAAAGCACACACACACACACACACACACACACACATACATATACACACAAAACAAAGAAAAGGTAAAACCTTTTAGGCAAACTAGCCAAACACTGGTCCACCTGTAGGCTATAAGGATCCACCATGGTAGAAATGTTCTTGAGTCCATCAGATACTGGGAGTCAGCATGGGAATGCAAATGAGCAAGAGGTCATCCCTGCCTGCAGAGACTCTGCCCTTGCAGGAGAAATGAACTCCTAAAACAGGACCTGTGCAGCCACTTTGGAGGCAGAGACCAAAAGAATATCAAAGCAAGCTGGGGCAAAAAGTCAGCAAGGGCCCATCTCGACCAACAAGCAAGGCAGAATGGTACACACATGTAATTTTAGCCAGGCAGAAGGCACAAGTAGGAAGAATGCAGTCTGACACTGACCAGGGCACAAGCATGAGGCTTTATTTAAAAAAATACTAAAGGAAAAACAAGGAAAGGGGCCTAAGGTCATGGCTCAAATGGTAGAACACCTGCCTAGTAGGTGCGAGACCCTGAGTTCAAACCCTTGTACCCCCTTCACCCCCCCACACAGTGACCTATGTGATGTAATAGGGGCTGGACACAGTAAGACTGTCTAATGACAGGAATGCAATTAAAATCAATTAAGAAGTGATGTCTCATGGGGCTGGGAAGGTGGCTCAGTGGTAGAGTGCTTGCCTTGCATACATGAGACCCTGGGTTCGATTCTTCAGCACCACATATGCAGAAAAAGCCACAAGTGGTGCTGTGGCTCAAGTGGTAGCATGCTAGCCTTGAGCTGAAGAACTGAGGGACAGTGCCCAGGCCCAAAGTTCAGGCCCCACGAACGGCAAAAACAAAGTGATGACTCAGATGGACGCCGCTGCCTCATGGTACCGAAGAGGCTGAGATCTCTGAATCTCAGTTCAAAGCCAACCCAAGCAGGAATGTCTGTAAGACTCATCTCCTATTAACCAGCACAAAAATCCAGAAGCAGAGCTGTTGCTCAAGTGGCAGAGTACCAGCCATAAGAAAAAAAAGTTAAGGGACAGTACCCAGGCCTTGAGTTCAAGCTTTAGTACCAGTACCCAAAAAAAAAAACAAAACAAAAACAACAACACAACAACAACAAAAAACAAAAACTGCGATGACTCTTAGGATGAAGGAGTAAAAGGTTTTGATTCAAGAATGTCTAAGAACCACTTGTTCCCTCCTTCCTTTCCTGCCTCCCACTAGTGCTGGAAAGTCTCTGGTTAGCAGGTATTCAGGGAGGGGCTAGGGCCCAACCAAGAAAACCCCAGTCACAAAGCAGGAGCAGATCTACCAGAGAGAGCCTGGTGCATAAAACACCATGTTGAAAAAACTAAAAAGTCACCTATGCAGGCAAATCTACAGAGGCAGGGGCCTCTGCTCGCCTGAATTGGGGTTGTGGAGGTGACGAGCCAGTGACCTGTGAACCAAGGCCTCGGGTTTAGTTACTGCTGTCCACTTAGGACTGGCGAATTTCTGGAGGCAAGCGTGGGGGCCATTCTGTGTTAGCCCAGGACGTTTGTAATGCAGAGCCTGGCTTCATTTTGCCAGACTTTGCGAGGGGAGAGTTGCAGTCACCGCTCACCTGCCATTTCATCCCTCGGTGATCATGCAGATCCCTATCAGAGGCAGTGTGATCTGTAACCTCCTAATTCTGGTTTTAAGTAATACTCTAATTAGAAGAGAGAAAAAAAAAATCACTGCCCCTGTATCACTCCCACCCCTCTCTCTCTCCCCCAATAACAGTCATGGAAAGGAATAGCAGGATCCCTAAACATATAAAACAACACAACTCCTCAGGGTGGCCAATGGACGCCAAATAAAATCACATACACATAGTGAGCTGCATGACTCAGCTTACTCCTTTGAGTGTGACTGACAGAGGCGTGGCAGAGCGGGGGGGACTGACTCTGATGAGCAATGACAGTCCCCCAGTTTTCTCCAAGTTAGCAGATGGGTGGGGCTTTGGGTAAACTGGGCAGGAGACACCTTCCAAAGCACAGGAAGTCAAAGTGACAGCATGTGGGAAGGCAGGAAGGGCTGAGGACAGGACGTCTACGGTGCTAAAGGCACCCCTGCAGCGTCCCTCAGCAAGCATTTCAGCCTGTTCACTTCCTCACCGATGTGACTGCCAACAGCTCACAACAGCTGGATGACAGAAACTGGGTCAACAGATCAGTGGGCATGTCTAGGCCGGGGTAAATTAGCATCCTTGAGGGAGTTTGGGAGGCAGTGGGCATGAAGAGATAAAGAATTCCAAAGGAAATCTCACTGTTACTTGCACACGTGCACAAACACACACACACACACACACACACACACACACACTTTCATACCTGAAGTCTAAAAAAAAACCAGACCCAGACTAACCTCCAGATCCAGAATTGACAAGGCTACTCTCTAGTCTTGCTCTCCCCTCCATCTTTTTTTTTTCTTTTCGTCAGTCGTGGGGCTTGAACTCTGGGCCTGGGCGCTGTCCCTGCGCTCTTCAGCTCAAGATGAGCACTCTACCACTTGAGCCACCCTGCCACTTCCAGTAGCCCTGAATAGCTAGAATTATAGGCGTGTGCCACTGGAGCCCAGCTTCCCCCCCTCTATCTTTGCTCCATCCATAGCCTCAGAGGCAGAGAGCAAGATAACAAACAGGGTCTGGAACCTTCTCCTCGAAGACAGCAAGGGGAGAGAATGTTATGGTTTAGAACTGAGAAAATAGTCTCATCTTCTTATTTCTAACCTCCTGCATTCACAGGACTACAATCAACACGGTGTGTGTGTGTGTGTGTGTGTGTGTGTGTGTGTGTAACCTCCTGCATTCACAGGACTACAATCAACACGGTGTGTGTGTGTGTGTGTGTGTGTGTGTGTGTGTGTGTGTGTGTGTGTACCAATACTGGGGTTTGAACTCAGGACCTTATGCTGTCACTTGGCTTTTCTGCTCAAGGCTGGAGTCTACCACTTGAACCACATCTCCACTCCTGACTTTTTGGTAGTTAATTCAAGGTAAGAGTCTCAGACTTTCCTGCCCAGGCTGGCTTTGAACCATGATCTTCAGATGGCAGTCTCCTAGAGGTACAGCCGTGGGACAGCAGCACTCAGCTACAATCAAATCTTAAAGCAGGCAGAAAGAGAAAACAAGCTAGTAGGAATGCAAAAATGTTTATCAGATACCTCAAGTAACATTACAAGGTACAAAAAACCCATGTTTATCATACAGCAAAAAGTGTGTGTGTATGTGCACACGTGCACACATGCACACACACGTTTACATAAGTGGGCATGCACTGGTCCTAGGATGTAATCTCAGGGCTGAGACTGTTTCCAAGCTTTTTATGCTTATCAAGGTTAACTAGTGCTCCATCACTTGAGCCACAGCTCCACTTGTGGCTTTTTGGTGATTAATTAGAGCCAAGAGTCACATAGACTTTACTGACCAGGCTGGCTCTGAACCTTGATCCTGAGATCTCAGCTTCCTGAGAAGTTAGGATTACAGGTATGAACCTTATCTTGGGTATATTTATATGTTTACTATGTTAAT